GATGGACCAATCGTCTGATTCAATATTCTGAAGAAGTGAGCAGTGACTCACGAAAGCTACCCTGCCACGCATTTTGTTAGCCTTTAAGGTGCCACTGGACTTTTGCTCTTTTCTACTGCTACACACAGACTAAGGCGGCTACCTGTCTTGATTCAATATAAGGCAGCTTTGTTGCTGTTCAGTCGCACAGTCGAGTCTGACTCTTCACGACCCCATGGACCACATCACGCCAGGCATAAGGCAGCTACATGTGTGTATTTCAAAACAATCCTGAAGAACAGGACCGCCTTGTGGCCTTTTAATTTTAAAATTTATGGTCGGCCCGCCCCGCAAACGGGCTCAGGGCGGATCACAGCAATAGTTAGGCCATTCGGTAACACAAAACAGAGTAACAAATATTTATTTGTTGATTCAATTTGTACCCCGCCCTCCCTGCCAAAGCAGGCTTGGGATGGCTTACATAAAAACACATATACAAATACAATTAAAATCAGTCATAAAACATCTTAACAATTAAGATTAATACCTTAAAGTGCTGGAACAGGGTTCAATAAAGTTAATTAAAACCTTAAAACAGCATTTAAAAACAATCTGCACTGATACTGACCCATCTGCAGTTAAGACGCAGTTGGTTTTTTTTTCAGGATTAGGGGATCCAAAAAGCATGGGAACCAGTAGCAGCGATACCTACAAGCAGGTCTTCACTTTTCTGTTCTGTGTCTTCTGCACAGGTCAGGATTTTTTCCTTTCCCTTCCTCAGAATGTCAAGGCAGCTACAAAATTCTTCCTGAAGAGAAAACAAAAGAAGAAGAGAAGAGATTGGGAACAGTGTTCCCTCTAAGATGAGTTAGTGTGGGCTAGCTCACAGTGTTTTAGCCCCTGGCTCACACATTTTTGTCTTCGCTCAGGAAGGGTGGCTCCAGAGCAAACAAATGTATGCAGTAGCCAAATCGTTCGCTTACAACTTTAATGCCAGTAGCTTGCAAAGTAGAATTTTTGCTCACGAGACTCCACAGCTTAGTGGTGGGGAATCAAACCCGGTTCTCCCAGATTAGAGTCCGCGCTCCTAACCACTACACCAAATTGGGGTTCCTTTGTAGAGATTTGAATCCAAAATGAGAGACTCATTGAACAGATACCATGTAGTTCTTTACAACAGCCCGGAAAGGTATGCCAAGGCTATTTTCCGATACTGAAACTGTGGGAGGTTGGGTCATTGGCCTAAGGCCTCCTAGTGAATTTATGGTAGGTTACAAACAGCATGTGCAAAAAAGGTATCACTGATGAAGGAATGGATCCTAAGACTTCAAACTATAGTGCCAACAGGAGTTAAATGAGAATCTAGGGTGGTTTTTTTACAACTGATGTGACTATAAACCTTGCTGTATGCAGGTCATCTGTCCTACAGCTTCTTATAGTGGGCGCACTGAGACATGGTTTGACAGGCTGCTCACATTCTTAATCCTTTACTGACCACTGAGGAAGGCCCTAGAGGCCGAAACATGGGTGGTCTTATATGAGTCATTTGACTTGTCCATCAACTTTGTATGTGTAGTTAGATTAGCTTATAGATTCAGGTGGGGTAGCTATGTTGGTGTGAAGCAGCAAAACAAAGTTTGAGTCCAGTGGCACCTTTTAAGACCAACAAAGTTTTATACACGGTATAAGCTTTTGTGTGAAACTACATTTCTGAGATATCTGAGGAAGTGTGTTTGCACATGAAAGCTCATACCGTGAATAAACCTTTGTTGGCCTTAAAGGTGCCACTGCAACTCAAACTTTGTTAGATTAGCTTATTTAAAGCTTGTTCTGGCTACTAATGCTGTTTGATACTCAGATCCTATGATTCTGGCTATTGTGCATATCGTATAATAAATATTTATTTTGTTATTATGCTATTTGATGTAGATTGACCCATGTAGCATAACCAAGCTTGCTAACACAGCTGTAACAGCTGGGGAGTTGTAGGTATTGTTAAAACGGTTAGATTTGAGTCCAGTAGCACTTTAGAGACCTACAAAATTTTCAGGGTATGCACTTTCGTGAGTCAAAACTCTCTTCGTGATGATGAATCAGTCATCAGATTCCTGTTTTGTTAAGACAGCCACCGTTCTACTGAGATAAACCCCTTAAACTCTGATTGAGGGGTGAGTGTGGCAGAAGCAATGCAAGGAGGCCAACTGGCCTTCTTAGATGGTGTTGCCAATTCCAGGCTGGAAAATACCTGGAGATTTGGAGGGTAGAGCCTGAGGAGTGGGGTGTTTGGGGAGGGGAGGGTCTTCAATGGGGTATAATGCTAAACAGTCCACCTTCCAATTTGGCCATTTCCTCCAGGTGAACGTAGGGTTGCCAACTTTAGGTTAGGAAATACCAGAATATTTGGGGGGTGAAGCCTGGGGGGGCGGGTTTGGAGAGGGTAGGGAGCAGAGTACAATGCCATAGACCCCACCCGCCCCCAGAAGCCATTTTCTTCAGGGGAACTGATCTTAGTCGTCTGGAGATCAACTGTAACAGAAGATCTCCAGGTGCTACCCTACCTGGAGGGTGGTAACCCTAAATCCCAGAAGATCTCCAGCCACTACCTGGAGCTCGGCACCCCTACCGCCTCCAAAACTGCCATTTCCTCCGGGAGAACAGCTCTGTGCTGTCTGGATACTAATTCCGGGAGATCTCCAGGCTGCACCTGGAGGTCGGCAACCCGACCGCGTGTTAGCAGCAAGGGAATCCCATTCGGGGAGATACACCGATCCACCGCCTTTCGGTCTCAGCGCTGCACCCTCTACCCCCGCCCGGGGAGTCCCCCACCTTGTAGTCTTCGGCCGCCTCTTCCGCGGGAACGACTGCATGATCTCGGTGCTCCCTGGAGACGCCGCAGACCACGCAGAGGGGGGCCCCGTCGTACTTGCAGAAGAGCTTCAGGGGCTCCCGGTGCTTCCCGCAGAAGACGCCCCCCACGCCTGCCTCGCGTCTCTCCTGCTGCCGGCGGGACTGCCGGGCGATCTCCGCGAAGGTGGCCAGCTGCCGGTCCGCCTGCCAGCCCAGCGGGACGCCCTCCCGGCACCGAGGACAGACGGCGCCCTCCGGCGACTCCCCCCAGCACCGGACGAGGCAGGCCTGGCAGAAGCGGTGCCCGCAGCCCAGCGCCACCGGCTCCGTGAACAGGTCCCGGCAGACGGGGCAGGTCGTCTCCGCCCGGAGTCTCTCCCAGGCGCTCTCGGCACCAGCCATGCCGCCAGCCAGCCTCTCCGCCACGCAGGAGCGCCCAGTTTCGGTTTCCTTTTCCCAGCCAAGGCGGCGGCGGCGGCGGCAGACAGGGAGGGCTGGGCGTGCCGAGCCAGCTCAGATAGGGAGCCGGTGGCGAAGCGGAAGGGAAGGAGTGGGATCGGCGGCTTCCTGGAAAAGTTGTATCTTCACGGGTGCCGGAGGAGGGACGTGGGCCACGAAGGGCCACAGACCTCGCAAAATGCTGGATGTGTGGGTAGAAACCGGTTATCCTGACCCCTGGCCTGTTTCAAGGATGGCAGCCTCCAGGTGGGACCTGGGGATCCCCTGGAATTACAGCCCATCTCCAGACTACAGAGGAGAAGAAGAGATTGGTTTTATGCCCCCTCCCTCTTCACTCAGAGTCTCAGAGCAGTATACAATCTCCTTTCCCTTCTTCTCCCCACAACAGACACCCTGTGAGGCAGGTAGGGCTGAGAGAGCTCTGAGAGAACTGCCCTTGAGAGAACAGCTCTGAAAGAACTTGTGACTGACCCAAGGTCACACCAGCAGCTGCATGTGGAGGAGTGGGGAATCAAACCCGGTTCTCCCACATTAGAGTCCACGCTCATAAACAATTTTTATTTAGGATATCATCACTCAAAATCAACATTTATAATACATTTTTATCCTACCTCTCCTCCCCAGGCTCCCTCTCCAAATCTCCAGGAGTTTCCCAACCTGGATCATCTGAGAACCATCTCCAGCCAGTGGCCAAGGGAGGACCTGGCAACCTGTTCTAGACAGTGGCCAAGGGGTGGAAAGTCTGCACTCTGCATATGCCCAGGAGCTAGGGTTACCAGGTCCCGCGCCCCCCGTCACTGGCGCACAATTGGGGAGTAGGGTTGTGGAGATTTGGGGATGGAGCCCATGGAGGACAGGACCTCAGTGAGGTACCACAGCATAGAGTCCACCCTCCCAAGCATCCATTTTCTGCAGGGAAACAGCTCTATGTAGTCTGAAGATGAACTGTAATCCTTATCCCCAGGGGACTACTTCCAGGGAAGGATATTAACCCTGTGTGGGAAGCAGGCACCACCAGATAGAAGGGGAGTATCCATGGGATTGCATGCTCCTTTAGATCCAACATGTCTCAATTGACTATGTAATCTGGTTTGCTTATCATTCCAACCCTTTAGAGGAAATAACAATATCATGCTAGATCTTAAATATGTGAGCATCTTCTAGATCAATGACTGGTTCTTTAACTGATTGTGAGACAATCAAATGGAGAGAAGAAAAAGAAGAGATCCCCCTCCCCACAACAGAAACCCTGAGGTAGGTGGGGCTGAGAGAGCTCTTTCCAGGACCGCCCTTCAGAGCACAGCTCTGAAAGAACTTGTGACTGACCCAAGGTCACGCCAGCAGCTGCATGTAACCAAAAACCTGGTTCTCCCATGCTCCTAACCACTACGCGACCCTGCAAGTCTGCAGTGGCACCTACCAAGACTAGAGCGGGAGGATAGTCTCTCTCTCTGGTATTTTTGTAACTCTCGTTTTGCAGCAGCTCCCCTTAATGAAAGTTCTTAGCCTGGGGTTGGATAAGGACTTTTGACAGTATCATGTCTGCCCCCCCCTCCCACTTTTCTCCAAGCAACAGCCCCACACGTTCCTGCTGCTTCTCTGTTGGTGTTTTCTGCAGGTTTACTCTCCATGACTGAAAAGGGGGGAAAGGGCAATTCCTCCCCAAGCCAAAGCAGGCAGGCTGTGTACCTAGCAGGATGCTGCAGGGTCGCTTCCTGTTCCCTCCTGGCATATCAGCCACTTATTGACTTCCTCTTTCTCATCAGCCATCTGGTGGCCAGTTTTTCAAAAAAAAAATAACAGCACCTTTTAAAAAAAATTATTTTATTGAAAAGCTTTTACAAAATTCAGGGCAATAAAATACAAGACCCCCATATCATTCAGCCTGAAGGCCGGAACTCCCAGGATCGCTGGGCGGAG